GCCGCGAGCACTGGGCCGAGATGCTGGCCAACCCGCGCAAGCCGGTGGAGCACTGGCACCAGCTGGTGGAGGTGAGCGCTGGGTCCCGGCGGGATTCGAGCTGAAGGGGCGGAGCTGGCTGCGAGGAGGGACTCCTGGCAGTGGGTGGGGACCAAGGAAACAGTTTCGGTAAAGAATAGGGCAGCGAATGTCATGGTGCAGGACCTAGTGTACAGATCGCACGGTCACTCCCCGCCTAGCGTTTGGGGGGCTGCCCTGCAGACTGGGGGTGCAGTTCGCTGGGGGGACATCAGGGCTGAGGCCTGGAGGCTGGGAGAGTGAGGGTGACAAGAGGCCTCCTGGGTCCTGGGGTCGTGACCACTTTAAAGCCATTTAAGATGATTTCTTTGTATACCATAACCCTTTTGTCAACGGAAGACAAGAAAAGCAAAGAAATGCATTTTTGAAAATATTAACGAATTTGCTTCCACTAGAGTCAAGGAAATAAAATTATAGTAAATTGTTTAGAAACATATATATTGACAAATATATAAGCATAAAGCAATGTTAGTTGTATTACCCTTGCTCTTCTCTTTCCACTATTTTTTATATCTTGGCATTTTCAGGGGAAATTATCATTTAAAGGTACGTCAGAGCATGCTGTAGAGGACCGCAGTCTCTGTCGGTCCGTCTGACGTAATGAATGTGGGACTTTCTTGAAAATTGGGTATTTTTGAGCCAGGTTTGGTGACACAGGCCTGTCACCCTAAAACTCTGGGAGGCCGAGGCAGGAGGATCACAGGTTCAAGCCCAGCCTAGGCAATTTAGTGAGGCCCTGTATCAAATATAAAAAAATAAAAAGGGATGGGGTTGTAGCTCGATGTAAAGGCCTTGGGTTTTAATCTCTAATACCACAAAAATAAAGTGGAGAAATTTATTTATCATCATGGATTTTTTTTTTTTTGCATCAACTTCGGCTTCTTAAACTATCCCCTTAAGATAGATGTTCTTTGTCTTGATGGCTGAGTTTGTGCCACCCTTAGATCTGGCACTGGGCTGAGTTCCTCTCCCCTCGGCTGGTTCTACCCCAGCCCTTTTCCAGCTCTGACGGGGACAGGACAGTGGGCCCCACGCGGAGTTCAGGTGCGAGATGGGAAAAGGCCAGTTCTCCTCTGGGAAGAGTGAGAGGTTGCTATGAACAGGAGGGGGGCTCCTCCACCCCCGGCTGTTCACTCCTGTCCTGATTCACCCATTCATCCCCCAAGGTTCCCCGGAAGCTTGCGCCCAGCCCGCCGTGCCCATAGGGCTGTGGAGGTGTGCGTGTTCCCAGTGCACCCTCCCCATGGCTTTCTGTGTCCCCGCAGAGCCTCCAGGGCAGTCTCAGCCCCTCCACATGGGGCACGACTGCCCCCTCACCCGGGTAGTGAGGGCCTCATCTTTCCTCACATTTCCAAGGACTTGTTTTTTTGTGCCTCGGTTTCCACATCTATAAAATGGGATTCCAATATGGTTGCCCTCATCCTTTCAGAGCTGAGTGAAAAAACACTGTAAATAATACAACAGGGTGGGTGTCTTTTCCTGCTGGTTATGAGCGGGTGCGTGGTCTCTGCCTCCACTCCTGATCCTTTTGGATCTCTCCATTCAGGAGAAGACTCTGACCAGCTTCACGAAAGGTGGCAAAGGACTGTCCGAGACAGAGAACCCGGAGTGAGAGGTGAGAGGCCCGGGTGGAGGAGGCGGGGCCCGGACCCGAGGGAGGAGGGGCATCGGCGCAGGATTTCTGGTCTGGCCCTGGTGCTGTTGGAGTGACAGGCGGCCCTGGCCTCACTCTCCACTGTCACTGACCTCTGCCCGCCGGCTCCTTTGCAGGTCTGACCTGGGCCAGGGGTCTGACCAGGCCCCCTCAGGACTCCATCCCTTCCTGCCCGGACCGAGAACTCATCTCCTCGAAGCCATAGCGTCCGAGCTGCTGGTGCAGGGCTGCCCTGGGCCCGCCTCTCTTTCCTGGACGTGTGTGGGTGGGCAGCAGGCAGCCCAGCGCCCTGGTTCACGGTGGGGGGCATTTAGCCTCTGCTGTCTGTCTCGTCTTCCCCGGGGCCCCCCTCGAGGGAGGGGCCATGCATGTCTGGGAGACCCCTCCCCTCCCCTCCGTCTGTCTCTACTCTTGTCCAAGCCTGGTGTTCTGATTCTTGTTCTCACTGTGAATGTGTCCTGTGTCCCTGGATACACAAACCTGTGTCCCCTACTGTGTTCACCACCACCCAAGTCTGGCCGACCCCCCCCACACACACAATGCTGCTGCTAACAACGCCAGAATAAACACTCTGTGGGTCTCACTACCTAGGGCTCACGTCCTCTCTGACGGGGAAGCTGTGTTAGAGCCAGTTGGCTCTGCATCTGACAGTCGTGGGCCTTGTTCTGTGGTTGGGCAACTCAATCCATCCCTCTGGGGCTTAGTTTTTAAAAATTATCTTTGTCAGGACCATTGTGTATTGTAAGACATAAAATACAGCACAGAACCACAGATAGAATTGAGAGACCCCCAACATATGGAGAGTGGAACGGCACTGGGGGACTTCAGGTATGGCTCGATCCAGCTGCTCCTGCCACTACCTTTTGCTTTCCTCTTTTCTGTCTTGCTTCTCAGGTAGGAATTGCAAGGCAATTAAGTGGCTGCCTGATGCTATGGGCTTCTGCTGAAAAAACAAAGCAAAAAAAAAATCTAAAGATCAGAACTGCTTTTGGAAGAGCTTTAATGATGGGGCTCTCTTATGGGGTTAGTGGGGACACTGAGTTTAGCGGCATAGGCTGGTGAGTCGGTGGCTCTGGTACAGACTGTGCCCTGTCTCACACGGCGGCATTAAAGCAGACAGCGCGGACAGGGCCTCCCCATGTGTGTTCATCTTTTCTCTCCCACAAGAGTTCTCATTTCTCTTCCTGTCACACCAGGCTCTGCACAGACCCTGAGCTGCAGAGTTGTCTGGGAAGACAGGCATCTGTCATTTCTGGTCCCCATCGTGCGAAGCAGGCCTTGCCAGCCAGAAAGCACATGGAGTGGGTGGCTCTGGGTAGGACATGAACAGGACCTGCTGCTACTGTGGATGAATGGGACCTGTGGTGCCTGCCCCGGCAGCGGAGAATTTCCAAGGAAACAAAATGATGCTCCTCCATGTCTTTCAGGAGAAGGATTCTGATTGGTCCTGCTCTGGCCTTGGTTGGCCTCCTGGGGCCAATCATTGTGCCCCTTTGGCAAGCATGCTCTTGGCCCGCCCCTGCCACCCCTGGCTCCTCCCCTGCCCATCTGGCTTGTGATTGGCTCAGATGCCTTCAGGATCTCATCCCTTTTGCTGGTAAGGTGAACATGAAGTGTAATCTTTAAGATACGGTGTTTCGATTTTTAAAAGCGTATGACGGTAAAAGACACGTCGCCGTTATTCCCCCTTAAAGCCCTCCCCCTGGCTTTGGACACACTGACCTCATCGATCTTGCCGCTCTGAGGCAGTTCAGAAAGTTTTTTGTCCCGAGTGCCTTTAGCTGCGCCGCGCTGCCTCGTCGTTTCCTTTTCCCGGTCACTTTGATTCGGGGGCGGAGCCAGCAGCTCCCGACGCCAGCTCTGGCGGACAAGGTGGACGAGGCCTCAGCCTCGCGTCTTCAGGAGCTGCCCTTCCGTGGGGCGGTGCGCGGCGGCAGGATTCACCGTATTTTTGGTTGCACCGTGTAAAGATACTCAGGAAAGAGGACTTCCGGAGCTGCTCCGGAAAGTAGCGAGAACGGCAGGAGGAATGTGTTCAAAACGGGGGGAGGGCCGGGGGTTCAGCTCAGGGGTTCCGACCCCGCTTCGCGAGTACAAGGACCCGAGTTCAAAGCCCCCCATACCAAAAAAAGTGAAAGTGAGGGGGAGGATTTTTGAGGGGGAACCGGGGATCCAACTTGGGTCTTTGCGATGGAACCACTGAGCTAGATCCCCGGCTCTAGGGGGAGGATTTTTTTTTAACTGTTCAAAAAATTTTTTTTTCTTTTTATTGAGTTTATTGGTACAAGCTAGGTATACAGTACAGTTACATTCATTACTGGGATCCTGTACCTTCACATGACAGGTCTTGGTGGGGGAGGATTTTTTTTTAACTGTTCAAAAAATTTTTTTTTCTTTTTATTGAGTTTATTGGTACAAGCTAGGTATACAGTACAGTTACATTCATTACTGGGATCCTGTACCTTCACATGACAGGTCTTGGTGGGGGAGGATTTTTTAGAGAAATTATAGCAATGTCTTTTACTGCAACGCACTAAAAAAAAATTGAAACCACCCCTTGGGAATCAGCGCTGTAACATCTCCTCGAAGGCAGGACGGCTTCAGTGAGGGACACGGGCAAGGCAGCACCACGGTCCCGGCCAAGCGCACAGCAGTGGGCGACGGACTGGCCCTCACCAGCTGCCCTGGGCAGCGTGCCCTCGGCCACTTGGCGTTGTCGCACCTCCGTTCCCATGCAGCATTTCCATAAACCTCCTCCTGCCGGAGGCGGTGCGGACACTGCGTGCCTGGACCACCATGAAAAACGACCACACTCTGGCTGGCTCAGGAGAGAAACTTGGCCGGGGATTTAGCTCAGTGGTTCTGCCACCTACCTTGCAAGCGCAAGGTCCAGAGTTCAATCCCCAGCACAAAAAAGAAGGAGGAGGAGGAGGAGGAGGAGAAGGAGAAGAGATTCATTCTGTCTAGGTTCAGAAAAGCAGAAGTCCAGACCCAGGCCACCACCTGCCTCGAAAACACAACATACCAAGTTCGACCCCTTGTACCAAAAAGAAAAAAAATTTTAAAAAGCAGAAGTCTGAAGCCAAGAGGGCGAATCCTTCCATCCTCTCTGGCTACTGATAGCCCTGGTCGGAGCAGCTCACTGCAGCCTGTGACCGCCTTCTCCTCACGGCCTCCTGTGTGTCTCCCTCCTCCCCTCAACTCCGGAGTCTTTGGGTCTGGGCACCGTGTCACTCCAGCGTGATCTCATTTCTTGATCCTTAACAAAACTACACCTGCAGAGACCCATTTCCTCGGTACCGGGGATTGAACTCAGGACCTTGTGCTCGTGAGGCAGGCTCACTGAAAGTCCCTCTTTCCTAGAGGTTCTACTCACAGGATCTGGAGGTTACATTGGTACACTTAAATTGGTGCATTTGTGTGTGTGTGTGTGTGTGTGTGTGTGTGTGTGTGTGTGTGTGTGTGTGTGTGTGTGTGTGTGTGTGTGTGTGTGTGTGTGTGTGTGTGTGGCAGCACTGGGAATTGAAAACAACAGTGCTCTATCACTGAGTTACATTCCCAGCCCTACTTATTTATTTTCTTATTTTGATTTTGTTTTTTTTGTTGTTGTTGTTTTTGAAATAGGGTCTCACTATGTAGTTGAGTCTGACCTGGAACTCACTATGTAGCCCAGGCTGGTCTCGAACTCACAGCGATCCTCCAGCCTCAGCCTCCCCAGTGCGGGGATTACAGATGTGCACCACCATGCCCGGCTTATTTTCTTATTCTGAGACAGGGTTTCACTAAGTTTCCCGGGGGAGGGGGACTCAAATTTGGGATCCTCCTGCCTCAGCCTCCCTGAGTGCTGGAATTACGGGTGCCACCACACCTGTTTAAAAAAAATTTTAATTGCTGCAAAATACATGGAACCAAACTTACCATGGTGACCATTTTTAGTGTACAGCAACATTAAGTGCAAGCACCCTGTTGCACAATGGTCATCACCAACTAGCTCCAGAGCTCTTTTCGTCTTGCAGAAGTGAAGCTCTGAACCTATTGACCAGCTCCCCTTCCTCTCCCCTCCCAGCTGCTGCCAACCTCCATCTCACTCTCTGGAAAAGTCTCCTAGAATTGGACTCCTAGGTACCTCATCTAAGTGGACTCATGATATTTCTTTGTGCCTGGATTGCTCTACTGTGCGCCATGCCCTTGAGGGCCACCCCTGGTGTAGCATGGGTCAGGATTTCCTTCTGTTGTTTTTTTTTTTTTTTTTTTTTTTTTTTATCGAACTTGGGACCTTGTGCTTGCGAGGGAGGCGCTGGAACCACTGAGCTAAATCCCCGGCCCCGGATTTCCTTCTTTTTAAAGGCAGACTAATATTCCAATCAATGTGTTGACCACTTTTTGTTTATCTACTCCTTCTACAACTTGGCTATTGTAAATAACGCTAATGTGGACATGGGTATCCAGCTATCTCTGAAAATCAGCAAATTTTCTTACACATAAATTATACCTCTTAACTAAGTTTTTTTTTGTTGTTTTTTTTTTTAAATATCCTACCGGGGCCAGGGATTTAGCTCAGTGGTGCCACCACCTGCCTTGAAAGTGCAAGGTTCCAAATTCAATCCCTGGTACAAAAAAAAAAAAACCCAAAACAAAAAAACTCCTACTCAACATAATATACCAGGGTGGGACTCAAAGTTGTGACCTCAGCCTCCCAGCATGCTGGGATTACAGGCATATACAAGGGCCCAAGTCCAAAGCGCTGATAACACCGAGTGCGGGTGAGGACGTGGAGAGCTGGGAACTCTCCTCCCTGCCGGTAGGACTGCGGAATCACACAGCCACTTGGGAAGACAGTTTGGCATTTTCTCACAAAACTAAACATACCCTGACCATATGGCACAGTACTTGTGCTCCCTGGTATTTACCCAAATGAGTTGAAAACTTATGTCCACACAAAAGCCCGAATACGCATATTCATAGCCGCTCCAGTCAAAACTGCCAAACTTGGAAGCAACCAAGATGTCCTTCAGTGGGTGAGGAAACCACAGCTATGTGGACAGAATGCATGATGAGGAGAACTGCGTGGCCATGCGGGAAAGACCGGGAGGGGCTTGGATAAGAGTGCTGAGGGAAAGAAGCCAATCTGAAGAATGTATCAGGGCCAACTACGTGCCATTCTGGGTTAGGTAAAACTGGAGGCCGCGGTGGCTGGCAGGGCGTGAGAGGAGGGAAAGGTGAATCGGTGGGGTCCAGCGTACTTTTAGGACGGGTGAAGCCTTCCATGTACTGCTGCGGTGGTGGACACACGTCTGCAGTATCGCCCGTGAAATTAGGGGAGGCTGTGTGTTGGGGGGGTGGGGCAGCAAAGGTCTAGAAAATCTGCACCTTCCTCTCTGTTTTGCTGTGAACCTAAAATGTATCTTAAAAACAGTCTTAATTTTAACGGGTGGAAAGCACATGTACGCCATAGAATGTACAATAAGAAAAGCAAATCCCGCAGGGCATGGTGGCCCACGCCTGCAATCCCAGCACTCGGGGAGGCTGAGGCAGGAGAATCGCTGTGAGTTCGAGACCAGCCTGGGCTACGTAGTGAGTTCCAGGTCAGTCTCAACTACGTTGTGAGACCCTGTCTCAAAAAACCAAAAAGAAAAAGAAAAGGAAAGCAAGCCCCAATATACACTTTAGCCAGTGACACTACAGCAATCTTGGCGCATTAGTTGGAACAAATGTACCCCATTAATGCAAGATGTTAATAATGGGCAAAATTGCGGAGGGAGTCGCCAGGGAGTATACGGAACTCTCTGTACCTTTCAATTTTTTCTGCAAACCTAAAATTGCTTTTGAACAAAGTCAATTAATGAGAAGGAAAGTCAGCGGTAACAGATGCCAGGCAAAACAACAGGCGTCCCGTACACAGGTCCAAGCTGCGTGAGGCTCCACTGTAACAACAGATCGCGCACTCGGGCATGACGACGGAGATGAGGAGGGCAGTAATGACGACGCCCTTTGCATATTTAAGGGTTTGAGGACACAGTCATAATTCCTGCACACATAAATTATACCTCTGCTAGTGCAGGGGAAAAGGAGTCCAATCGTGAGTGGACAGCTACTGGCGTCACCAGTCTCCAAGGCTCCCAAGGGCTCCCAAGGCTCTGTGGCGCCCTCTGGCGGCGGGGGGGGGAAGGGAGTTTGTGTATGAGAGCCATTCTATTCCACTGACTCCAGCCAAGTTCCGGTGCTACGTCCAACACCCCGCATGCCCCCTGGCGACTCAAGTCACTTTCCACCTCCATGTTGCAAGTGCTGTGGAAGAAACTCAGCTAGGAGAGGAAAAAAAAAGGTAAGAAGCTGGGAAGATCCAAATTCCTTGGCATCCAATCGGATAGAGGCATTAACACGACAGCTGTCCAATCAGAGTGGCAGAAAGAGCGCGGGTATCCAACTAGATAGGGCAGAGTTGCCACGACGACATGAGTTTCTATAGGGTTTTCAGAGTCCAGGAGCTCTTCCGCTGAGCGACTCCTGGCGCTTGGCAACGCTTGGACCCCCTAGTCCCGCAAGAGCATGCCGGTTGAACGCAACCAATAAGGCGAGGCCAAGCCTCCGTGACGTCACTAGTTGCCAAGCAGGTCTGCCGAGAGTGTGAATTCACGCGTGAGTTCTCGTGATCTCCCCGGGGGCAGCCCTAGGGAGTGGCACTTGGTGCGCATGCGCTCCAGCGTCTTTATATATTTATTTGCATTTGAGGCAGAAAGGGCGGGAAAGCACTCAATGAGGCGCGTGAGGTGAGAGGTGAGGTGAGGACAGCCAGGCTGAATGATTGACTGGTGGGCCTCGAGGTGGAACCTTCTGTCGCAGAAAAGGCCTGGAGAGACTGGCCCCTTACTCTTCTCTGAGGAACGGAACCCCAAAAACATAGATTTAAAGAGACAGACTGAGAAAACAGCTGCCCAGGAGCAGAGACCTCCACACTCATCGCACAGGAACAGAGCACAGTTCAGAGAGAAGCAAAGCCAGGCGGAAGAAGAGCCGGAAGTGAGAGGCAGACGATGGTGACGCCAAGGGCTCAGAGGCGAGGAGAAGTTGTGATGGAGTCATAGAGATGAGGGGACAGAAATGGGGCCCACAGTCACGTTGGAGGATCTGAGCTAGGGCCCTGGGGAAGGGGCTTGGGGATGGTGACAGGCAGAGCTGGGACAACAGGTGTCAGAAGTGGAACTGACAGGAAAAGGATAAAGTCAGAGGCCAAGGAGAAGATGAAACGGGGGACCAGGGAGAAGCGACCGCGAGACAGACGGAGAGGGCAGTGAGGCACAGCCAGGGACGGAGGTGAGGCCGTCTGGGAAGAGTGGCGGATGCCGAGGACAGTGGTCCAGGTGGGAAAGCCTCGGGAGGTGCGTACAGGACGGCGACAGGGACAAAGACCAAGGCCGAAGTGCTAGAGGGGAGAGACGAGGGGCAGCAGTGACACACGGAGAAGGGACGGCGAAGACAGACGCAGGGGATGACAGTACAGGGGCCGGCGAGGGGAGACAGAGGTACAAGTCATGCCGCCAAGAGGGACAGAAACAGAGCAGGTGCCAGAGACAAGGCTGGAGACCACAGCGACGGCAGCAAAGCGAACGCATCGCGACGCAGCGGGCAGGGATGCAGGGACCCATGTCGGAGACACAGGAGAGAGTAACAGACACGGAGTGGGCTGGGGCCACACAAGTGAGGAGGCAGAGCGTGAGGGGCCAGGACGCAGAGCAAACGGAAGCAGAGGAGCAGGGAGAGCGGATTCAGACTGAAGGAGACAGGGGAGTCGCACGGGACAGCGTCTGAGGGGACAGCAGGAGAAGCAGAGACCCACAGTAGAGGGCCACAGTGGTGGAGTCCCTGAGTTCCAGGGTCAGGAGCAGCGCATTCGATGACAGAGATGAAGGAACAGAGGCAGAGTGGAGGGCAACAGAGGGCTCCGTGGCCAAGGTGCTGGACACAGAAGCAAAAGGCACTGAGACAGCCCGAGGGCAGGTGAGGAGTTCAAGGTGGGTGCGGCGGAGGTGGCGGCCCAGGAAGCCGCAGAAGGCCCGAGTCAGAAGCTGTTGGGTCATCTCTCGCAGACAAGGAGAGGTGCAGGGGGAGCCTGGCCATGACGGCTGGAGGAAAGACACAGAGGGAGCGGGTCAGAGGCAGATAGACACGGCACCGAGAGAGAGGAGGGTCACCTGAGACCTGTGACAGGCCAGCATGACAGACAGATGTGGGTGGGGACGCAGACAGACTCAGAGAGGGAGAGGTGGGCACCAACCGAGCCCCCCGGCATCCAGCGCAATAGCTCGCTGAAAACCAGGGCAGCTTGCATGCGGTTTTTTTGCAGGCCTCTTTGGTGAGTTGGGATCTTAATTTGAGATTGTGTTTTGAAAGGTGTCCATGCAGGTTCTGCAGTTGTGACCAGGTTTCTGCAGCTCCAGTCCTCTTTAACCCCCTGTCACCAAAGCACAAAGAAGTGTAAAACTATTTTAAATTTTTAAATATGTATTTATTCATTGGGTTTTCAAGACAGGGTCTTGCTATATAATTCAGGCTGGCCTGGAACTGACAACAGTCCTCCTACCTCAGCCTCCCAAGTGCTAGGAGTACAGGACTGTGCCACCATTCCCAGCACATTCTGGCAAAGTTGAACTTTTAGTTATTATTTTTTTTCCTCATTGAGTTTATTGGCACATTTTAGGTATACAGTACAGTTCCGTTCATCCTTGGGATCTTGTACCTTGACATGACAGGTCTTGGTTCTCATTTTTTCCCCTTATCTCTGCCTTCCCTTCACCGCCTCCTCCCTTGAACTTTTATTTTGATGGCTTCTTAGATGATAGGAATAAAAATAAGAGCTCAGGACCCATCCAAGGTGAAGAGTTCACATTAAACTGGGAAAGTTAGCACCGTTCCTAGGGTGTGGGAGCAGGACTGACCTAGGCCCTGTGTGTGAATTTGCAGCCTAGTATTCGGGGGTCCAGAAGACCTCAAGTTGAGGATTTAAGTCTTTACGACTTTACAACTGCTTCTAAATTGCACACACCTGCCAAATTCTCCCTGGTGGGAAGAACCTTGGGTAAAGCCCTCAAGTTATTCCTGCAAACACATCTCTTTTAAACACAGTGACTAAACATACAAGTATACAAAGTCAGGGTGAAAAGTACCAGGATGGAGAACAGCAGAACTAAAACACCCGGAAAATGGACCCTCTGGTATCTTTGGCATTGAATTAGCAAACACGTAAAGCAGTGTGCTTTGTTTATATGAAACGTAAGATGGCCATTTTTTGCGGTGACCAAGAAACTCTGGAAAAGTCCCTAGATGCTTTGAAAATGCCAAGACTTCTAGAAATGTATAACTTCATCAATAAGGTTAAAAGTGAAGTTAACAGCTGAGTAGAGAAATAGTGAATTGGAGCATAGGTTAAAAGATTTACTTGAATAAAGGTCTGCTATCTAGAAAAGAGCTAAAAAAATCAGCCCCTCCAAATATAAAGACCCAATTCAAAAATGGGCATCTGAAATGATCAGATATTTCTCAAACATGTAAATGCAGCAAAAAACATTAAAAAATGTTCAACATCACTAGTCATTCAAGAGGTGCGGGTGAAAACAACACTGAGATTCCTCTTCATCCCAGTGAGAATGGCTGCTATCAAGAAATCAACCAATAACAAATGTTGGCAGGGTTGTGGGGAGAAAGGAACCCTTCTTCATTGTTGGTGGCAGTGCAGACTGGTGCAGCCACTGTGGAAATCGATATGGAGATACCTCAAACACCTAGGATTAGAGGTTCTATTTGACCCAGCTATTCCCCTGCTGGGTATCTTCCCAAAAGAATTAAAAGAATCATACCACGGTGATATAGGCACACCCATGTTTATAGCAGCCCAGTTTGTAATAGCTAAAACTTGGAAACAGCCCAGTTGCCCATCAGTTGGAGACTGGATAAAGAAGATGTGGTTTTTCTATAAAATGGAGTACTACTCAGCCATAAAGAATGAGGAACTAGACACATTTATAGCTAAATGGATGCACATTGAGGCCATACTCTTAAGTGAAATGCACAGGACACACATGTGTAAATACTGAATATTTTACCTTGTGTGAAAAGCTAAAAATATAAATAAGGTTCAAATTGTAAAATTGATAATGCGAAGTAGGAAGAAAAGGGCTAAAGGAGTAGGGAAGTGGGAATGGTAGGGGAAAAGAAAGAACAGAAAAAAATATATAAGAAAAGGAAAAACATGGAAACAAAGTCTTTGTAAATAGGGAAGGGTGGAGGGGGTGAAGGGAGGGCAGGGGAGAAAATGAGAACCAAGACCTGTCATGTAAAGGTACAGGATCCCAATGATGAGTGTAAAATGTAACTGTACTGTGTACCTAAAATGTACCGATAAACTTAATGGGGGGAAAAAGAATTAATTAGGGATCCCAGCCCTTGAAAGAGTGAGCCAGGAGGATTGCAAGTTTGAGGTCACCCTGGGCTACAAAACGAGACCTTGGATCCCAGCTACCCAGGAGGCTGAGACAGGAAGATGTGCAGTTCAAGGCCAGCCTGGGCACCACAGCAATTCCCTGTCTCAGTTAGAAAGAGAGGGATATGGGGGGTGGGGAGATGGGAAAGGAAAAGGAGAGGAAGGGAAGGGAAGGAAAAAGATGTTAGGGCTGGGATTTAGCTCAGTGGTTATGAAGAAACAAAGCAGAGAATGTATAAAATAAGTTAGGGGACATGGATGATACAGAATCAGAAGAGAGGGTTTTATCTACCTGTATGTTTTTCCAAGTTCACCCCTGAGGAGAGAGTAAAAATGTGCCAAAAGGAATATTTAAAGAAAAATGGTGGCTTTTTCAGAATTTCCAGATCAGTAACAAACCTTTTCCAAAGATTCAAGAAGCCCAGTGAATCACAAATAAGGTAAAGATGCCCATACTTACATCATCACAAGTTTACAGAACATCAACGGCAAGGACAGGGTCCCAACAAAAGATAGAGAAGAAGGACTGATGCGCTTCAAAAGCTCAACAGTTTGGCTGGCCCACCGCACCCAGCAATAGAGGACTTCTTTTTTTTTTTTTGGTACGGGGGATCGAACTCGGGTCCTAGCGCTTGCAAGGCAGGCGGCGGAACCACTGAGCCAAATCCCCAGCAGCAACTGCCTTCTGAACAGTGACAACAGAAGGCAGACTAAAGTCCCCGGGCTCAGACAAAATAACCTCCAGTTTTATACTCAGTGGAGGATATTTCAATAATAAGGTCAACACACATTGTTGGGAAGCATCATGAGGTTTGATCTTAGTAAAAAAAAAAAAGTACTCTAAAGGATATGATATAAGGGGAAAGTCATCCCACGTTAAATATCAGAGCTGCAAGATGAAGCAAAAGCAAAGGAACTGATAAATATGTAGGTGAATCTGAGCAAGTTTTTTCTGGACAGAGCAAGAACAGCAGCGACGACATCTTGTGCCACAGACCGAACGCCAACACTCAGCAGAGACCATTCGGGATGGTTCCACGGAAGCACATTTCCCTGAAGCCCTTCTGTTGGCTGAGAGGTGAGAACAGGTGTTGGCCAAGGTATAGTTATTGTTAAGTTAATTTGCCACTTTAACTTTCAGGGTAATCACTGAAAGAGATTTATTATTTAAACACTAACACATTAGCTAGATGTGGTGGCGCACGCCTGCAATCCCAGCACTCCGGAGGCTGAGGCAGGAGGGTGGCTGCAAGTTTGAGGCCAGCCTGGGCTACACAGCAAGACCCTGTCTCAAGAAAACAATTGGGAAAACAAATAGTACATTGGAAAGGGAATCGTAAAAATTACTGAATTTCAAAGAAAGAAGCAGGAAACCATGAGCACTGTTGGGCTTACCTCCAGGGTCCCCGCTCCAGCCAGTGAGGCTGGAGATGGAAATTCTGTGACTCACTGAGCCTGAGTCATGTGCTTGGTGCTCAGGGGAGAGGATCAGTCCGTCCAAGAACCGTGGGCTCTGTGGAGGGCTGATGGCTCTGCGAAGGAAAACGGGACTGGGCACCGTAGTGCAGGCCTGGGATTGCACACTCTGGCAGCTGAGGCGGGAGGGTCTCCAGTTTGAGCCCAGGCTGGGCAACTTAGTAATTTAACAAGATGCTGTCTCAGAGTAAAAAATAAAAGGTCTGGGAATGCAGCTCAGTGCAAAGGCCCTGGGTTCCATCCCCAATACCACCACCAAAAACAAAACAAAACTCTGTTTGTAGGACTTTTATGTTGCTGCCATAAAAAAATCACCACAGATTTAGACTTCCAACAACACAAATCTATTATCTTGCAATTTTGTGGTTCGGGAGTCCAACATGGCTCTCCCCGGGGCTACTGCAAGGAGTGGGCAGTGTTTTGTTTCGGGTTTTTTTTTGTACCGGGGATTGAATTCAGGACCTTGTGTTTGCGAGGCAGGCGGCAGAGCCACTGAGCTAAATCCCCGGCCCATGCACGTTGTTTTCTTTATCTCTGCAGCGCCCAGAAGTCACTGGGCACCTCGGCTAACGGCCCCATGGCCCATTTCCAGAGCCAGCCGGGCAGCGCCGCAGCCTCTGCGCTGCTGGCGTCGGCTGCCTCGAAGGCCCCAGCAACCGTGCCTTCCCTGCGTTCAGCGCAACTGACTGGAAACCGCGGATCCGCAGGCAGCCCGGGCCCTCGCTGCCTTCCTAGATGGGTGCACAGGGGCGTCCGTGTCACAGGGAGCGCGCGGGCCACGCTCACCACGCAGACCCCCAGCTTCCAGACGGGGTGGGGGCAGCAGGGGCTGCTGCGTGTCAGCCGCTGTGCTCAAACTTGACATGCGTATAACGTACCTCTTATGACAGCCCTCGTAAATACAAACGAGCACCCTGTTTTACACTTGGGAAAACAGGGTCAGAGTGACAGGGTGATTTGTCCCACAACGTGGTGAGGTGGTGTCAGAGGCAGGATTTGCATTTGGGCCTGTCTGGCTCAACAAAAGCATTGAAAGGAGAGCCTCGCGTTCGTGTCTGTGGTCCGTGTGTCTATGTGTTCATAAATATTTCCTTTCAGAAGCTTGCTTTTCAGTCACACAGTGATGTATGGAAACAATGTCCATCTTAATGGCTGGGCTTGGTGGCCTGCGCCTGGGACCCCAGCACACCGGGGCGGGAGCGGTTGAGTTGAGGGATCGCAGACTGGAGCTCAGCTTGGGCAACTTAATGATTTATTTACTTCTCAAAATATTAAAGAAGAGAGGGCTGGGGGGTGTGGCGTAGTGCAAAAGCTCTGGGTTCAATCCCCAGTGTAAGACTTAAGTCTCACTTTTACTCCTGGAGTGTGAACAGCCAAGAGGCTTCCACGATGCTGGGCTCAGAAGCTCAGCGAGGCTCCAGGAGCTTGTCGGACAGCGAGAGTCACCCAGGAAGGAACACACCAGGCAAGTTGGCAAATAGACCTTTATTAGTCTGGCCAGACGGCGCTCCCCAAGCCAAGTGGCTCAGAGAGGCGGCTAGCTCAGAAACAGAGGCCATTTTATATAGGGCTGAAGTGGGGGTTTACACTTAAAACTTACAGGAAGAGGACAAAGACAAAGAATCAGTGGATCTGAGCTAGTGGTCATCAAGCATATACTTGACCGTCACGTACTGATGATCAGCAGATCGATTATCCATTGTTCCATTTACAACTTAGATTATAATGTTCAGAACATTCAACTACAGGCAAGCAAGGAGTGGCGTGATTTGTGTTGGGTCTCTGTGTTCACTACAGTTTCCATTTAGTTTCCCAGCTACTTCAAAGCAGTTACCTAACAATTCACAATGAATCATTAGTTATCCTATAAGGGATGCGGGGAACGACAGTCTCTAGGTCGTTTGCTGGTCAACATGGAGTCGCTGTGGTTCAGTCAGGCTCTTACACCAGTAGCAAATAAATAAATAAATCGTTACCTGTAAAGCTAAAGTTCGCCTCTCGCCAGTTTAGATCCCTTCCCTGGAAATAAACTCAGTCACGAGTTCACAGCAGATCTTTCCAGCTCTTTGTCCACAGGTGCACGTGTGCGTGTGTAATGCACAGAGCTTGTATCTACGGTGTATGCACAGTGCCCTAGAGTAAATGAGTAGTCTTGTTTTGAGCAGGCTGTGAGTGTGTTTTAACATAAATGGGATCCTACAGTAATATTGCTCTGCAGCTTGCTTTTTTAACTCCACAGTATGTCTTGGAAACCCATCCAGATTTATTTAAAGAGCTCTGTCCCATGCCTTCTAAGAGCTGCAGTGGTTTTCTAGAAAACCTCTCTTCTTTTCCATGTTTGCATCACCGTCCCTCCAGGTTGTTGTTAGTTTCTTTGCCCTCACCAGCCACGTTGCTGTGCATACCTGGCTCGCTTCTGCCACCCACAAGACCGAGGACTTTGCGCGACCCTGTGTCTTATGGGCACCACACCTGTCTGCCTGTGTCTGCCAGTCCTCTGGGGAAGGGGATTAGCAGCCCCAGCGTCCTCTGTTTACTGTCCGTCAACAGGCGGCAGAGGAGGGGGGCAGCCCCGGGGGTCACAGGGCCCCACCACTGATAGTAACCGTAGGACCCCTGGGATTTAGAAGTCGCTTCCTCCAAGCAGGCCTCAGCTTCCCTGTGTCTGCGTTTTGGTTTGGTTTGGTTTTTTGAGAGAGGGTCTCACTGTGTAGTCCAGGCTGGCTTTGAACTTACTATGCGGCCCAGGCTGGGATCCTTCTGCCTCAGCCTCCCGAGTGCTGGGATGACAGGCGTGCACCCCTTCACCCAGCCTCGGTTTCCCTCTCTAGACACACAGCACGGGTCTCAGAGCCAGGTAGCCCAGGGTTCTATCCTAGCAGCTTTGCGCTTATTTTCCCCACTGTGGACAAATCACTTCTGTCTCTGCCCCATGGCGCTGAAACTGTGTGTCCAGTCGGTGTGCAAATGGGAAAGGGAAACGCTGCTGATTCAACCCTTTCTTCCTTGAGTCTGGACTGACGTGGCTGGTGGCGTGAGAGGACAGCAGAGTCAGCCGACGATGCCTAACAGGCTCTGTCACCTCCACACCCCAGTGCACACTGGCTTAAACTGGGGGTGGGAGGTGCCCGTTTCTCGGCTCAAATAACTGAGAACCTCTGGACCAGTGTTGCCTCCGGACCAGTGTTGCTGGCTGGTTTCAGCACTCAGGTGTTGCTGTGAAGTTGTCTCTCAGCTGGGTGCAGTGTGCACCACTGTAATCCTATCACTTTCAAGGCTGAGGCAGGAGGATTGCTGTGACTTTAAGGCCAGACTGGACTACATAGAGTAGTTTGTCATGAAACAGACAAAGCAGGAGAACAAGTCTCTGGTGGGGTACAGTCGCTCACCTACGACCCCTGAGCCTGACCCTGTTCCTCTCTTTTCTTAGGACCCTTGTAGTGACATTGGGCCCACGGAACAATCCAGGAGGTTCCCCATCCCAGTAGCCTCATCTGCGAAGTCCCGATGGCAGGGAGGGCCACATAGGTACAGGCCCTGGGGACTGGGACACGGACACTTTTATTCTGTCTGCCAAAGTCATCATGGAAGAACTAGTGGAAAGGCCAGGCGTGGGGGCGCACACCTGTAATCGCAGCACTCGGGAGGCTGAGACAGGAGGATCGCTGTGAGTTCGAGACCAGCCTGAGCTACATAGTGAGTTCCAGGTCAGTCTCACTACATAGCAAGACCCTGGCTAAAAAACAAAAACAAAAACAAAAAGAACTAGTGGAAAAGAGCAAAGTAGAGGGGAAAAAAAGTCTGTCCCGTCACCTTCCCAACACGATCATTCCTAAACATTTTGTTGTGTTTCTGCGTAGTCCTCAGAAGCACAGCCGGCCCACACTTCATGTGCAGTTTGTACTCTCCTTTGACACACAAAGATGTATACCGTGCAATCATTTACGATAGCCAAACTTGCAAATGACTTAAATGTCAGCAGCCGGCACAGTATGTGTGATCTTGGGGATGTGGCTTTGCCTGCATCCTGTTTTCATGTCCGATCACTTTCCTGTCCTGTTTATTAATAATTCATTCACTTAGTCATCTCATATTTAGGTTAAGCTCTATGTTGGCTACTAAGGGTACCGGGATGGACAAAATAGTGGAGACACCAAAGCCACCCTCAGGACATTCACAATGGAGTCTTTTGCTTTTCTCTCGCCCTGTCTCCCCCTGCGTATTAACAGCATCCATTGTTGGGCTTCATTGTGTGTATTTTGATCATATCCATCCCCTTCTCAACCTCCCTTCATCCTCTCCTCTTTGCCCTGCGAATCCAGCTGTTACATCTGGTCAATGTGCCTGTCTTAGATTCTCCCTCCCTAAACTAAGTCGCTTTGAGGGCGGGCAGTGGGGGACCCAGGGAAGGTGCACGGTAAGCAAACCAACGGGAACAGACTCGGGGCCTCTCCTGGAGCTGCACCCGGCCGCTGTGGCTGTGACCAGAGCTCTGGTCCCAGATGTAAACCCTTTGTGTCTGCGTTTTTCTTGCCCAGAAGAATGTCCGTGAGACTCACGGACGTGGAAGGCGTGAGTGGCGGCTCCTCCACTGCAGAGTGGTTTTCTGTTACACAGACGCACTAGAATAGGTTTGTCTTTCCTCTTCTCGGTGGCCGTCAGGGTGGCTTTCCGGTTTGCGCTGTTCTCATTAGTGGGGCTTCACGTGACCTTACTTAAGTCTGCGTAGACAGAGCGGACAAATGTTTTGGGTAAGATTCATGGGTGATCTGAAATATCATCAATGTTTATTTAAATAAAAGAATTGACAATAAGTGACAATGTCATCAACTGTCCCCAAAATACCAATACACTCCTGCCTCACTTTTAACATATTTATCTCATTGTTCTTGGCAACATGACTTATTATAAATCAGGTTTTAATTCAAACATGCATCATAATTTTAGACCAGCCCTTCTAGATTTTTTTCCAACTTTGTTTTTCTTTTTCAAGCTTGTTTTAGCCATTCAACATCCATTACATTTCCATGTAACTTTTAGATTGAATTTGTCAATGCATATGAAAATCTGTTGGCTATTGATTGGCATTGCACTGAATCTACAGGTCACCACTGTTGATTTTCCAACTCTTGGACTTGGCATCTCTCCCTAGTTATTCTTGAACCACGTGGTGTGATATTTTAGAAAGACTTGTACATCTGTGTTCAAGTTATTTGTATGTATTTAACACTTGTCTGTTTTTGTGGAACTATAGATTAAACCCAGGGCCTTCACACTGAGCTACATCCCCAGCCCATTTATTTATATATAGATAGATACATTTTTTTTGAGACAGGGTCTCACTATGCGGTTGAGACTGACCTGGAACTCACTATGTAGCCCAGGCTGGTCTCAAACCCACAGTGATCCTCCTGCCTCAGCCTCCCGAGTGCTGGGATTACAGGCGTGCGCCACCATGCCTGGCTTGTTTGATGTATTTTAAATGGAATTTTGAACTTTCATTCTACTCTAGTGTATAAGAATATTTTAAAATGTTTATACTGACTTTTTATCTTGCAACATAGCTAAGTTCACATAGTTGTTCTAGAAGTTGTTTTTGCAAATTTCTTTGGATTTTCTACATGCATGATGTTGTCAATAAATAAAGACAAAATTGAGGCAGGGAGTGGGAGGCAAGGGAAAGGGGACATAAAAAGAATTAAGCCGTGTGATATCCACATACTGACTTCCAACGATGGACGTAATCGTCATGCACTGCAAGCACAGACCAATAAAAACCAAAAAATTTAAAAAGACAGTTTTACAGTTTTTTCTCTATCTTTTAAGTAATATGACTTCTTCCCTTTATTGTATTATGGCCTAAATTCTGTTCTGTGCATTTTGAATGTTAAACAAATACTGTTTTCCTGGTCTAAATCCCACTTGTTCATAATGTATTAACCTTTACATATATTACTATTTTGACTTTCCAGTATTTTACTAAGGGCTTTCCCATCTGTGTTCGTGAGGGGTATCGGTCTGTGGTTTTCTCTTCTTGTAATGTCAGGTTTGGATATGGGGATCTGTTGCCCTGTAGAATGATTTCAGGAATGTTTCTTCTGTGTTTCCTAAAAAACTTTATGGAAGGCCTGTGGTAGAATTTCCCTTGGATCGTTTTTAGTTTTTCTTCATCTTTCTAGCACCATGCCATTTTGTCCTTTAAGGCCTT